ATAAATATTCATGAATTGCAGTAATAATAGCGAATAATTTGGAAAAAATTGCACTTTCTAAATATCTTTTGGCAGATTTCTGCGTTTAACAAAATAAAACATAATTTTCCGCAATATTCATATTCTATAAATAAGAATGATATCATTTTTTTCTAATTATTTTATTTTATTCGTTCATTTGTTCTATCGATTTGTCTTTGTCCATTTTCTCGTCCTATATTTTTCCAAATATATTTTAAATGTTTTATACTTAAATAACAAATTAAATGAATAATGTAAAAATTTACGGTAGATTTATTCTCTTCGATGCTACTTAATATAGCAATATATAATCGACATAATTAATTGTAGTATATATTAATATATTATTTAATTAATATATTATTTATATATATTCAATTATTCGATAATATATAGTCTATATATATTCTTCTATATTAATTTATTTTGATTAATCACATTTTTTTAATTTTTTGATTTATTTATCTCTATATTGTATATTTAAAGATTGTATCTAAATTATTTTAATATACGATTGCATTAGAAATAATGTTTTTTTAATAGAATTTCTTTTTAAAGGAACGAATCGCGCTAAAGCTATTCTTCAAGTAATTTATTTTGATCTAATTACACCGTTGAAAACGAAGTAACTATTAAAACTATATCACTGTCGTTCGCGATTTTTCACTTTCCATTCACTTTTAATTGCTTCCCTTCTTTCCAGTCTGTCTTACTTTTCGAAGCGACGCTAGTCATTTGGTGTAAAAAATCCATTATGTTTCTATCTTCCTTGAAAGAAGACAAGGTTTTCGCGTTTATTCTTCCGTCTTTAACAACGCTGCAAATTAACTGGATAGCCAATTGTGATCTTTGATGATCCTTGATAGCTTGATAATGGATCCTTCCAGAGATTCCGTTCTACTTTCAGAGATTTTTTTACAGAATTGCTTTTTTAGCAATCACACCAAACCTCAACGATACAATTTTATCATTTTCAATTTCTAAAAAGTCTCCAAAAGACCGATTACATAGTTTACATGTGCGTAAGAGAAACATTCGATGATATCCAAATTATTGTCATTTTCTAAACGCGACGATCGAAATTTAGAGCTTCCCGTATATATTGGTTTCTTTCATCTGAATGTTAATCGTCGGCAAAATTTATTTTAGTCGAGATGCTCATAAAGGAGTATAGTTGCGCGTTAATCGTGGTGTCCCGACAAAACGAGAATTTTGCCACCCTGTGCAAACTCCATTGGCAGTAGAAAATCGAACCTCTTCTCCGTCTCTTACAAAAACAAGATCTTTTCTGATCTTTTGAGTTTCGAAGCTGAAAAAAATTCGCCTTCCAATTCTATTTTTATCACGTATTACCTGCTTCTTGCCTTGTATAATCAAATAAGGCAAAAATGAATTTTTCGTCGCATTTTAGAAAACTTTCAAAAATTGACAAACATTTTTGAATAAATTTAATTTTGCTAAATTTATTAATTAATTGATACGAGATTCTTTAATAATTAGAATCTTTAAAGAGTTTGAGTTGTAAACATTCAGTTTTTGGTAGCATTTCCGCGTATACGTGTCATTGCATATGTCCACGAATTGAGAGAGGTCTCTCAGCGGTTTTAAATTTTGAGCTTGCATCTCTCTCTCACACGTGAAGGAGGACCCCCGGGGGCGTGGGGTCCCTCACGTGTGCGCTCGATTTCGCGGGGCAGGTCGCCTCGCCTCGAAACGAGGACGGAAGGAGGGGAGGATCGGCGGGCTCCGTCGCCGATCCGCTCCGTAGAGGCTTTTCAGGGAAACGTGGCAGAAACTCCAGCCAAGAGGATCGCCGAGAGAAGCTTTTAATCTGCCGAGAGATTTGGACTTTTGCCAGCGGACGGTACGACTCGTAACGTGTGTAGTGCAGTGTATATGCGCACCTTGTATATATGTGCCAACCGTGATTGCGCGAGGAGAATGTAATTAGTGACGGGACGTTGTGTTGTGTTGATCCTTCGTAGTGGTTGTTGCCCGATACTGACGGTTTTGCTCGTACCCTTCGTCCAGAACGGCATCCCAGACTGTTTCCAAACGCCGTTGACGGACTATGTCTGTGCCGTGGCTGTCCCGCTTAAGGAAAGGGAATCATCTCTGGAACGTTCACGCGTGATTGAGCCGAATGGTTAAGTGGGGAGGTACGAATGCGATCCGATCGAGAGAATGTTACGTTGAGATTGAAGCCAAAGAAACTGAGACATATCAAAGTATTTTTCATGCTTAGATTTTATTACAAATTAGAATTTAATAGAATTTAAAATTAACTTACAATTTCTTTATGCGTTAATTAGCAATGTAAAAAAATTTCAAGATTAATATTATAAAAATTATACACCGCGTCGTTTTCTTACAAATCGTTACATTTTAAATATAAAAACTATATTTTAATAATATAAATATTAAAATATAAAAATTACACTTTTATTTCGAATATAGGAGCAGGAATAGACAAAAAAGCCGAGTAGCCAAAGAATATCAAGAATTCTATAATCAAATTGAGAGGTAAGTAACAATTAAAAAAACTTGTGCGTTCTTTTCTAAACAAGTTTGCGAGATTGATGCTGTTTTTATAAGTCTATCAATTAAGTTTTTAATATTTATATCACAATATTTTAGCACTAGTTTTAAAGCTGACGCTTTTATAATGACTTTTTAATAGTTGATTTCCTTTGTTTGATAAGGGTACGATCCTAAGTAAGGTATTAGGATCTTTAAATGTCACAGGTAACATATTTTTGTCAAGGGATGCCATTGTACTTTTTGACATTGTATTGTGCGTAGAAGGCGCAAGGTCTCGAAGAAATATCGCAAGGTATAGACAATTTTCGTTGTATTATTTGTATCGCTTATGCATTTTTTCTGCGATATTCATCCGGTCATTTCTTTTCTACGACCTGCAATTTCTCGCGGGACATTTACGTTCAAGAAGTGCTTCAACGCTCACTCGAGAATGTTTCGGCTTTCAAACTCGCTGATCAAGATAGATGATCCACTTTCGCGTGCGCGCGATCGACAACGAGCGGCGGCGAGTCGTCGATCGATCGATCGATCGTTATCGATCTGCCGCGCGGCGTCTCTCATTGAATTAATGCCGAATTTTTGGCCGCCGTCATCAAAGCGATCCTGATTGCTGAGCGCGCATAGGTACCACAGTTGATTGGGATCATTGTAGGGGGCATTTTATGCACCGAGAGCATGTACCGCGGCTCCAACTTGAATACTGAATCAGGGAGATTGAAGGAGAGAAAGAGAAAGAGGGAGACAGGCAGAACAAGAGAGCGAGAGACGCGGGGTGGTGGGGGTTACCGGTTCCAGAGGCTGTGCACTGTAACAGTAGAAGGCTATGCTCTCCCCTTCTTCTGCTTTTCTTCCCTGTCCTTCGTCCGCGTTTTAATAATCCTCGACCCCCTTAGAGCAATCCGAACAAGGATGGAACACAGTTGGTCCCTCTATTTGCCTCGTGCCCGGTGTTAAGGGGGGTACCGCCCCCTACTGTGTATATTAGTCTCGCTCGCTCCCGCTTACCATGCCGATCTCTCGCTCTTTTATGTCGACTTCTGCTTTCTCTGAATAGTCGGAATTCTCTAAAGGAGCATTTCGTGAACGTCGTTTTTCGCTTCGGCACGACGATCTCTCTCTCCTCTAAGCGATACTTAAAAGGAAATCCGTGATTTTCACGCACGCGCATTTCTTCGAATTTTAGCGGCTTTCATTGACTGGCAAAACACTTTCCTTCCCTCTATGCTAGATTCCTATCATTTTTCCCATTTCTTTGTGTGCTTGCGTTTTATGGATCTCTCACCCTTGCCTTACCTTTTCTTGTTCTTTGTTTTTTCTTTTCTACTGGACTTATCTCTTCAAGCATATAGATACTTTCGAAGTCGGCTGTTTTTGGTGAAACAGAAAAAAAATAGAAATTAAAGAAATACTATTTTGCATATGTATGCTTTATTGGAATTTTTACATCTTTTGTAATGAATTCTTAAGAATGAAGAATTTATCTACTTTTCGAATTTTCGAACAAAAGACAAATTAGTTACAACGATGTGACAAACGTTCTTTATAATTTCAATGTACGCATTAATGTCATAGTCATTAATAATGCCTGATAATAATAAATTTTACTACATAGACAAATAATTTATTTTATAACATAATTTGACGACCACATGACGATGATGTAAAAATTTGCTAATGAAGATATGTAAAAATCTAACATAGAGTAGCAGGATCGTAAAATTGTAGTAAAATATCAATTCTAGGTTAAATTTTTTTCAGTTTCTTTTTTTATATTCAAAGCACATTAAAAAAATAATTCCACGAGATGAAGAGATCTTTGAATTCTCAGTTTCAACGTTATCGCGATGATTTTCCAAATTCTTTCAAAGATTCTGTACAGCTTTACACGATGCGCGTCAAAAAAATTCAACATTTATAAAATTAAAGAAAACATAAGCGACGACTGCATCGAAACGATTTGTGAATTTGGGAATCGAGACATTTCGATCCGAGGTTCACGAAATAGTTTATGGAATGTTGCCAGATGAATTTTCGACGTTTCGAAAAATTCAAAGGGCAATAAAGCAATCGAATGTCACGCAATAGCAGACGTTACAGCAGGTCTGACTCTCTTTATTTTGCTGCTAAAGTATCTTTCGGTTCCTCGCGTTCGATTTCCGAAAAGTTCCGGTAAGCAGACAGATAGTCCAACGAGATACGCTACCGTTGCAGACGCGCGCATACACGTCGAAGACAAATTTTCGTCGAATCGGCAGAGAGATGTGCAAAATGACGAAGGCTCGACAACGATGAAGGAGGATTCCGACGGAAAAGGACGGACGTCCCGCAGAGAGGACCAAAAGGACGGTAGCGAGCTGCGACGGGGGTGAGAAAAAGTAACAGGAGGGTGAGAAAGGGAGGGGGGATATATTGCGACGGGGCTCAAAGTGGAAGAAAGGCCGGCGGATACAGCGTGGAAAAAGAGAGACGACCGCGTTGGGCGCGCGCGCGCGCGCACTTGCGGAAGAGAGCATCGGCGCGGCGTGAGTGGCGGCGTGGCGCGATACGGCTTGGCTCGTCTCGGCTCAGCTTGGCACGGCGTGGCGGAGCCAGACCGAGCGAACGGAGCGAGAAGCGTGCTCGCGCCGAGAGACGAGTCACGCTAGAGCGACGAGGACGAGATAGAGAGACGGCGGGGTAGAGTCGGGCTAGTACGGGAGCCCGAGCGAGACCGAGTCGAGCCGAGGGCACAGAGAGCCGTTGGCGTAGTAACGCGTGAGGCTCGTATAGCGTCGAGCCTGCTTGCTGCTTGCCTGCCTGCCTGCCTGCCTGCCAGCCAGCCAGCCAGCCTGCCTGCCTGCCTGCCTGCCTGCCTGCCTGCCTTGCTAGTTGCCCTTCCTCCCTCGACATCCCGCATCCGACCGTCCGTCCGACAGCCCGACTCCAACTCTATCCGTGTGAACCGCGCGTCTGTGTCTCTCCGCGTGGTGCCTCTGTCGGTGGCAACTACACGCGAGCGCTTCGGCCTTGCACTTGTGTGCGCGCACGTCCGTGCGCGCGTGTGTTGGTTGGGGGTCCCGGCCCGACTCGGCGCTCTCGGCCCGTCCCGTCCCGTTCCGTAGAGTATCGCACCGCGCCGCTCGCCACCCGCTATCCACAGCAGTTTCAGCCAGCCCGCCCGCCTGACTGCTTGCCAGTGTCCCACCGCACGCCGAACCGTTTGCACTCAGAAGCGATCAGGGAGCCCTTCTCTGCCTCCCTGCCGGCCACCCTGCTCGTACGCTCTCTCGTCGGCACCCCACTTCGGCCTCGTCACCCACGGCCGTATCGTCCCTCGTCTCCCTCACCATCGTTCCATCACCCCGTCCTTTTTTCTCTCGCTTTACACACACATACGTACACACGTGTCCCTCTCTTTCCCTCTTGAAATTTTCTCCCTCTTCGTCCCTGGCGCGCGGCGTTTCTTCGCGTCCCACTCTGTCCCGTCGAGACCTCTCCTCGCCCTCCTCCGGTAGTCGAGTTACACTCGGCGAACGCACGAGCACCGGCTATCGCTCTCTCTGTCGGCTGGTTTTCCATTCCGTTCACCCTCTCGTATCTCCCTCGTTCGCGCTCCGTCTCTTTCCTTCCGCGTCCGTCTGTCCTCTTCCCCCTCACGCGCTTAGCCTAGCCCTCCTCCGCGCCGTTCTACGATCCCCCCTACGTTCCGCTCGCGACACGGCTGTCCTCGTCTCGTCGCGCCAACCGTCCTCCTTCTCCGTCTTCGATTCCTCTCTCTCTCTCGCACGGGAGTAACGCCGGTGTGTACTCCCGCTGTCACCTGATCGCGGGACGCTTTTCGCGGGTGAGATACCGCTCGGCCACCGAGTCAACCCAGTCTGCCGGCGTTCTTGCTCCGATTCTTCCTTCTCGCTCTCCTCTCTCTCTTTCTCTCGCGCGCGCTTCGTTCGTCTTCGTCCTTGTTCCGTTTCTCTCGCTTACTCCGCTTTCCACTTCTCTTCCCTCCCCACCCCCGCGCCACCTTCCACTCTTTACTCTTCTACCGCCGTTCTTCCTCCTGCTGGTCGTCGTAGTGGTCTTTCTATACTCGCCTCGTTGCCGCGCGACGTCAACATCATCGGGCTGGTGGTTACCCGGAGGAAGAAGAGAGGCGAGAAAAAAGGAAAGCGAGCACAGAAGCGGCCGCCACCGTCCGACGGCGCTCGTCCGCGGACGATCTCTCGCCTCTTCCTCCTTTCACGGATCTTCGCCGGCACGTCGCTTCGGAGTCGCCCGGAGAGAGAGGGAGGTGACACTTTCGGGCAGACACGCGGCACGGATCTCGCGCATTCGGTGGACGCACGCGAGGACACGGAAGAGCCGCGCTCCGTTGCAGATTGGTCACGGTGCCAAGATTTCGTCTTTTTTCTCCCGTCCTTTTTTTTCAATCTCCACTCGGATCCTTTGTTCCGAAAGCGTCTCGTGAGTTGAGTGAGCTCGAGCCGGTCTTGCCAGTGCTTAAAACGGGCAATTCCTATTATTCCAGTGTGACAGTGCCGAGGACGACGATTTTCAAGTGAGTTCCAATCATAACTTGTAATTTTCACGCTGTTTCTACGATTCCGCTTCTGAAAATTGCTCTCTCCCTCTGATTCATTTGGAAATTTATCTCGAGAATTTTTTTACATACGACCCGAATAAAAAAATCATTGTGAAATTGGTGCGACGCGTTCAAACGTGAAAGATTCGCTTGAAAAAGTTACGACATTTTTAACGGTTTTTCTCGATTATCCGTCGGGTCGTCGCGACTATCGGTTTAATCCTCTTTTTACGTCATTCCATATCGAATAGTATACGATTTTTAGTTTATATTAATTGATATTTCCATTTATACCATTCATCGCATTGATACATTTTTCAGCGATAAAAACTGTTCACGAAATTTCCAAAGTCACAGTGATATACCTGTGTAAATAAGTGCTATAAATTATTAATCGATCTCACGCTTTAAAATATATTAATGCTAGAATCACACGTGCAAGTGGGAAAATTTGGCGCAGCTAAAAAAGGAAAACGTTAACAATATGAAACGTTTAATCGTACGTTCGTTTTCTAATCTCTGCATTTCGATTATATTGCGGCTGGTGCGTCTAGGTGTGTCAAAAGATCCCTCTCGTGACGCGAAAGGGCGCGAAAGGGTGACATTTCTCGGTAACAATCGATCGACGCACGCGAACAGCGCGGATCGAGGACGTAAAATCCGAATTATTTCCGAATGGCGTGTGTCTAGAGATTTCGTTTTGTTCTCTTTGTCTCTCGAAGAGGCGTGAGTTCTCTCTCTTTCTCTCCCTCCCTCTCTCTCTCTCTCTCTCTCTCTCTCTCTCTCTCTCTCTCGCTCTCTCTCTCTCGTCGGCAAGGGAACAGAGAGATAGCGGCATCCGTCCGTTCCGGTGCCCGTTGCGGGCCGGTCGCCACACCCGCCCGTTTGGGAATTCAACTTACTGCCACTCGAGACTCGCGCGAGAAGAGCGTTCGACGGTTTCTCCGACGGGATCTAACGGGTCGTCGTTTGCGAAAGGCGCCGATTCGCGGTGGATTCGATCGATCGATCCTTTTGTAAAGGACTCATCGCCGTCGAGTATAATTTTTCTTATCAATAGGCGCTTAATTCGATGGAGGATATCTCGGAGGATGTGTGCGTTTGCTCAAGTTCTGTTATCACATTCAAGATTGCCTCGTCGGTGGAATGTCTAAGAAAAGTTTCGTTATCGGCTTTCGAAGTGTAAAGACATTGCCGCCATTTCCATCACACACGATCGCTGCGTTTAATTTGTCTCACTAGCCACTTAATTCGACGTAGACGAACAGTGGAAAATTCGTATAAAGGTTGGATTGGGAATCTAAAGCACTTTCGCGATGTTCTTATAAAGTATCATTATCAGGGATAGCTCATTCCGACTCTATTTGTAACTTTTTTAAAGAATTTGTTATTAATGCGTATCATTTCGCAGCATTAAGTGACGATTAAATTAAACGTCTTTTTTTAGGGGAAAAGAAGGGCTGCGTTAAAAATTCTTTGTTTAAATTCGACTTAAATTTATTTAATGTGCTAATGATATGACTGATTTTAAATATATATCATATTCAATCATTTCGAAATTTTTAATATTTGTTGCAATTCCATTTTTCTATCGGATTATTTATCTCACAAGTAATATCTCTCTACCGAAAAAAATAATTAGACTCAAAATATCACACCATTAAAAAAGTTAATCGTTAAAAAAATGTATGTTAACCATCGCGAGATTTACTATCCCATCTATGATTCTTTCTAAGCAGTGACTTTGACCAGACGTAAGGCAACTAGTGAAACTATCTTACGTTAATCTGATGGATGATCGATAAAAGTAGTTAAGGTTGGATATAGCTTCCCCCGCACAACTCTAGCGCTTGAACAAGACCGGAATACGCTTATGCGCTTGCATCTCGCAATCTCGTTACGCTGATCCTTCGACGCTTGAAAATAAAACGGCGTCGCGTTTCTGAAGAGGTTTTCGTGAGTATCGCGTGGCTACATCTACAGATGATATTTAGTCTACTTGATATTCTTGGCGGAATTTTGACTCTTCCGTGCTAATCATATACGTCTGTTGTAAACCTGTCGCGAACGTTCGAAATTTTACGCAAACTGGTCGCGCGTCAAAACATGTGTCTATATTGATCGTAAATTGCCTCGGTTTATGGACTCTTTGAGTTTCGTCCGTCGACTTGTGAAGTCGTCGGAATTCGACGTGCGATCTTTCAACCGCGATTGCGAAAATGTTCGCGGCTAGATTTTAGTTGGAAAATGGAAGCTATTTCGCGAATTCAGTTGCGTCGACGAATATTTTTATTTAGAAATCTTAATTTAACAAAATAAAAATACGATAATTACTAGAAAGCATTAAATAGTAAAAATTGATAAAATAATTGAGTTTTTGCAAATGGCAAAGATCTGTATTCTAATTTCATCATTTAATAAGTAGAAATTTTCTCTCAATAAACAATTGCATTAACTTTCAATTTTGAGTTTTATTTTTAACGAAAGACGAGAAGAATGGCTTACTAATTATTAATATCTACTTTAAATAAATAAAAAGGATGAATAAACTTTCAAAAACAACGATCTACAAATCGTTAAATTGTGAGAGATATTAATTACATTGTAAATTCTTCAAAAGAGAAAAAATCTATGTAATTCGTTGCAAAAAAGGAATAAAATTCTTTTTTTATCAGTTATAAATTTTTTAATGACTATAACAGACTTTCGCAAAAATATTTTACAAAATTAGGAATGCTAAAAGATAATTATTTTTCTTTAGGATAAAAAAACAACATACTTTTTGCGATTCAATAAGTTAACTTCATATGTTAATATATAGTAATTAATTTATATATCAAATTAAATTAAAATGTATGCATAAATAACTCTGTCTGTATTTGAGTCATGAAACGATACAAAATAATTGTGAAATAAAACTCTTAACGTTTTCTTAAAGACAAAAATCAAATGTCTTCAAAAATCAAACGTCAAAATTTCTAATTATAAAATCTTGCCGAAGACAAGAAATACGTTACAAACTTATATGTAATAAAATCTTTTCTCATTCAAAATCTGCCAATTTATTTCAAAAATATCTTGTATATATCTCGTATATATTACTTTTATTCGCAATAATAAAAAAAAACGTAAATTAACGTTTCTCCAGATGATGAAATAGCGATCGCGAATTTGTCGATCGGTGGCCGCGAGACGCCGTCGTTACGAAACTGATCAACGGGTAGACAAAGAGGGGACGTACGGGGGACCGAGGGGCAGGAGGGTGAACGGGAGGACCCGGTGGCGTCCTGCGCGGGAAACGGATAACCGAAACTGCCGCGTATGCACGCGTACAACGTGGGCGTACGTGGTAATACAGTGGCCATGCGAGCTTGATTACACATTGCGATCACGAGTGTCCCACGAGCGGGCGGACATAAGGCCTTTTGTCGCACTATGGCCTGCGGGCAGGAAGCACGTAGCGTGACACCCGGCCGCTCGGTGTGCGAGCGGCACCCATATTATACGCTGAGTAATATGTACATGAAGGGAGAGAGATAGAGAAAAGAGATAGAGCGCGAGAGGGAGAATGACGTGCCGCCGAACGAGGAAGAGAGACGGAGCGATGTGGTAAAGGGGGCAGGAGGTGAAACGAGAGAGGGGAGAGGGGAAAAGATGGTGTCCGCGGGGACGACGGGGGACGCGCTATAATACTCGGTGGTGGTCCCATGCCACTACGTGACTTGTGTGCGGCTCTAAGCCGAGACACATATCACCGTCCCGGGGCCCCGTTTCTGCCACCTAAAGGAGCGCGCGGATATATCGCGCGCCGGGGCCATTATAGCGGCTACCGTGCCGGACGGACGGTGTTCGATCGGCCTTATTGAATTTGCCCTCCCCCCTGCCCCCCTCCGCTCTTCCCCGCAATCGTTCCGCCGCACGGGTTTGTTTTCCGATTGTTCGTCGCGAGTTATCTAAGCGCAGTTTGCGGCTCACCTAATCGGGTCACCTATTCGCGAACGCGAGGCTCTCGAGTTTTTTTCACCTAGTCAGATTTCTGTCCGCAGCGAACGTTTGCGTACTGTACACGTTCGGTGAAATCAGAACGCGGCGAGGTAACTTAATTTGGGATTTCCCTCCTCTCTTTCATGTACCACGTACATGCGAACACTAATAAGTTTTCTTTGAGCCGTTCCGAAAGATTGCTTAATATTTTAAAGCCATGAAATAGTTGAGTTTAAATTTTATTTCTCTTAAATATTTCGCGCAGCTTGATTAGAGTAATTACTATAAATGAAAACTTCTTGACAATATAATTTGCCGATTTTAAATTTTGAATTGTACGACTTCTCGAATAGAGTAATTGATATTTATCGATCGCATTTAAGGTTATTTCCCGGCGATATACACTAAATATTACACGCCACTTGAGAAGTTGATTTTCATATTTTCCTCATCTTGCTTTTATTCTCATACTTTCTTTCGTAATCAAAAAGCATCATCGAATATTCCGTTTGATATTATCAGTCGACTTTATCCACTTTGATCTCTTTCCATTGATTTGTCTGCGAGTCTGCTTCGATGGTGACGGCGATTAAATGCGAGACTGTAGTAGTAATAAATACTTAATTGGACCGTTAATTAAAGAATCGCGGCTCTCTTAAAATAAACCTATTGGCACTTTCGCACGTTTTTCGATTGTATCTTCGCGTATAATAATATCGATTATCTGGTAAGAATCATCCTGACTTTTTGATATTTGTCTTCGTGATCTTTTTCTCTCTCTCTCTCTCTCTCTTTCCGTCTTTCTCGCTAGTTAGTTGTAGACGGTGTACTTCGCGATTCGGCCATTATGCCAACCACTATGCTAGACGCTTCGATCGACCTTATTGAATTAGTTTCCGCTCGCGGGCTTGTTTCTCGATTGTCCAGCGTAAACCGCAGAGATATACCATTTTACACGGAAACCTGTTCGTGGGTTAGCTTGTTGATTGATTGACAGTCTCAAGAGCGGTAATCGCGAAAATAAGAAAATCTATTCCAGTCTTTCGCGTGATTTCTTTCGTCAAGACATATCGAGCGATCCAGGCTAAGATATTTAGGGATATATATATATCTTGATCTATTACAGATAATAGAACTCACTATCCCGTCCATAACTAATATCTTACGGATATAAAAGCGTTCAACAGGCCTAGGCCGATTTTTAATGATTTTAAATACTGAAGACTCTTTTTAATTAAGACAATATTGATAATATTTGAGATATAAAATTCGCATTTTTTAGAATAATTAGTTTACATAGAATAATATATAAATGAGGTCTTTAAGTTTCATTTGTGTGCTTTCAAATTATAATTTGCGAAATTTATTTGATTAATATCAATACAAACAACATTTAATTATTTCATTTAATATACATTTCATTTAATATGATTCTTCATATTTTGTTTTCTCTGCTATCTCGAAAAAGTCTGTCGAAATAGTTACATTCTCATTTATTCCTGCGACTCGCGCTCATTGAACGTGTCCTGCAATTGTCTACAATTTGCCCGTTAACGCAGCCCAAGGCCGCCGATGGAATTGACTGTTTCCGCAACTCTGCGAGATTTCATTTTGATATCCGCCGCGGTGCGACCTACCGGTATTCCGAGGATTATCCAGTTCCCGCCATCTAAGGATGCTTTAAGCATCGCTCTCGGGCTGTTAGAGCGGACTGTGAGGTCGACGGACGTTTCGATCGACCTTATCGAATTAATTCCCGCTCCTAGGTTCGCACCACGATTGCGGATTATACTCTATTCGATCACGTTTATTCGCAGTACGTGACTCGCGAGATCTTCGACACATTTACAGTGATTTTGAACACTTTGCTTTGCTATTATAAATTTATATTCATCATGTGTATACATGTGTGTTCAATATGCGTGCGTATGAATTTTAACGAATCGCCTATAATATTGTAGCGAGATCTTCTAGATGAACCTGCGATAGAACGTTTCATGGAAGGGCGTGATATCGAGGGTGAGAACCGAGGGGTGGCTTCATTTTTAGATCGTTATATCTCATTATTTTTCGGCTTTACACGCCACAGGAGGTTGATAACAATAAACTGCGCGATCCTATATCGGGATGTTTTTTTCAAACGACATGTGGCACGCTATATTTCAGTTTGATATCGGGTATTCGAATATACACACGAAACGCAAAAGCGCCCCACGCGCGAAAGGGAAGGTCGTTGCGACTAACCGGTTCTCTGTTTAATACGTCGTGTAAGCTGCTAATTGTGTCAGCGTCTATCCTAATGCTGTTCTTGCGAAAAGTTCTTATTTCTTCATACGCGGTTAGAGTTGAAACGTGAAGAAGCGCGAGGTTTCTATTTCAAGTATGAATAATGTCTAAAAAAGTGATGTTTTGTATTATTTACGATGACAGTAACGTGATTGTATTTTCAAAAATGAAAAAAAAAAACAAGTTTAGATTCTAGATGAGTCGTTTATTTGAAAAGCAACAGGTTTCGAATCTGAATGAGCTAAATAAACTAGAAATACAAACTAATCTCTCAATTTTAGCGAAATTTTGCTCGCGTCACTTTGAAAATAAATGGCTCGCTGGATGCCTTTACGTTGGAGCCTCTGAATAAGCTCCGAGAGAGACGAGAGTGATCGGATCTGGTCGAGCGGAGAATATAGAGCGGGGAGTTTTTCGCGGCGAGAGTTTTTTTTTGCGCGCAGGGCGGCCGTGCCGCGCGTCTATTATCGGACAGAAAGTGGAAGGCGACGGGAGTCAATTTCCCGAGTGAATTTCTGCCGCGTATTATATCCGAGCAGCTATAATCTACTTCTCCCACTGACGATAGCCTCCACCCGCTCGGCTAGTAGTCCATTAGCGGCGCCCTCGCGCTTAAACGTTTCCGCCGCTTAATTGCGCATAGCTAATTTTCCTCGTCACATTTCGTCCCTCTTTTGTTTCCAGGCGCAGCATCATCGTCGTCGCTGCCATCGTCCGCCTCGAAGAAAAACGCCGGGGCGTTTCTCGAACGATACGGTGTTAATGTCGCCGCAAACGACTCGTTGAATCTCTGAACGAGCGATCGTGGATAATCCCCGCAGTGTGACTTTGGTGCTTGTAGTGCTTAGTGTCGATGTGCCGGTTGCAAGATAACGGCGAAGAACAGAAGGCCATTCGCGAGGCGTAATCACGCGAACGACGCAAGTATGGCCAGCACGACAATGATGGGTCTGCGTCGCAGAGCGCCGGTGAACAGTTCGCCAACTCCTTCGAATCAGTCGCCATCCACGACGAGTACGTCGTCATCGAGCAAGCGCTTGAGGAACGAGAACAACAACAGCCCGTCTCACGGCAATCTGAACTCGATGAACGGCGGCTCTCGGGACGAGCCGCCGACGAAGAAGTCCCGCGGGACTTCGACGAGCGGAGCGAAGGGTAGTACGTCTTGTTCAACCACGAGTACCTCGACCGACAGCCACAGCTCGAGGAGTCGCGGGACTTCCGTCTCTAGATCGGCCACTCAGACCAAGTCGTCGTCCACTTCGACGGCTGCCACCTCGGCTGCCTCTTCCTCGACGAGCGATATATCGAACGGCGCCGCGCTCTCGACCAGCTGGACGACTACGTCAAGCATGTCGGACGTGCTGTCTTACGCTTCCGTGACCGGGCTCAGTTTGACGGGCGGACAAACGGCCGGCCTGTGCGCCGGAAGCCTCGGCATGCCTCCTGCACCGATACCACCGTACATGTCGACCTCCATGGCGACCTTCGTTGGGAACGCCACGAACCTCGGTAAGAGCTCGTCCGTCTCGTACCTCGACATTTCCAACATGACCGGCAGTTCCTTGGCTGCTTCCGGCGTCGCCAACTCGTTAAACAGCGGATACGCGACGAACGGCTCCGCCGCCGTAGACACGAAGAGCGGAATAGCGTTGTCGAATGTCAACGGCGGCTCGTACGTGCAAAAGAGCCCGAACGGAGCCGACGTGGCCGCCGCTTCGCCGAGGAAATTTCAAAATGACGCCATGTTCAACGCTTATCAACCGTGGGTGATCAAGACGTACGGCGATCTGGCCAAAACTAAGACCATCACTATCAAGAAATACGCGCGCATCCTGAGGACGTTGCGAGGCGAGGAAGTGAACAGCGCGGAGAACAGCAAGTTCCGCTTCTGGGTCAAGAGCAAGGGTTTCCATATCGGTCAGCCGGAAGGCTACGACGCGAAACCGGCCGACAGGATTATCGGACGTCACGCCGTCACGAGCCCGGGATTGGATCCACCGCTCTACGTGCCCACGCAGCTGCCGCACAACAAGGTGAGTACGTCCAAACGAATTATCCTGTCTCCTGTAGTCGCGAGAAACGTTCCTCGGGAAACGAGCTTTCTCAGCAGGTAGAGCTCGTTGGTCGGGTAGAATGTGATCGTTGAAAGGAGGATTAAGAGCGCTCGCGAGAGAGACGTCAAGATATAATCTTTGTCGTTCGAAGAGTCACCGTGATTTAGATTAATAAATGAAGCGTGATAGACGAGGAGTTTTACGTTGGCGTCATTTTTATGGTAAAATTTATGCATTTTTTTTTACTTACGAGCTTTTAAATGTATATAGCTTTATTTAACGTAAAACGTAAATGCGGGAGGATTCGGATAAAATTAAACATATTTCTGCATCAAGATTCGCATATTGATACATACGATTCGTCCATCTTTCGCCGTACTTTACAAGTGATACTCGCAAGAGAAATGCTTAGGGCGAAGAAGAAGCGATTATAGCAATTTTCTCTCGCGTCCTATATTCAGCCCGTAAATTCTGCCTTCTTATCCTTATTCCTGGAAAATTGACTTTCGGGCTTTTATTCACGTAGATTGGTCGTTTCGCGAGCGGTGACCGTGTGCGGAAAAGAGCAGACCGCAGCCGGTCTACTGAAACCCGAGGTTTACGGGTCGGTGGAATTTATCTTCACGGCGAGTAGAAAAACTGCGAGAAATCTCGGGCGCGGTATATTCAGAAAGCAAGAGAGAGGGAGAGAGAGAGAGAGAGATGGAAAGCTCGCGCAGATAAGGGGGCCGCTTAATTGCATCTAATTATGTATATACGCTCGTGTAACGGCACGGCCGGTGGCCGACGCCGCCACCTCGTTCGTCGGTGAGAAGGGGAGGGACGAAGGAAGGAGACCTACGTCGATGCAACGGCGCTTCGATCCACTTGCCGGAGCCTTGCCAAGCTCGGAGTGAAAGAGAAAAAAACGAAGGAAAAGAGAGAGGCCGTTTCGCGCCACGCCATTCGTCTGGTCGGTCTCTCTCTGGCGCAGCTTCCGCGATTTTCTATCCGCGTCTTCTCGCAGGGAAGCCGGCAAAACGAAGCCTGCGAGAGAGGAGCTCTTGCTTCGCCTCCTCATGCCTGATACGCTACTTTAAGGCTATCCGATAACGCGTTAAATTACTTAGACAGCGCCACGTCATCGTGCACGCCCTATCGGGCCTGCGCTGGATATTCCGGGAATATCCTGTGATTTACTCGCTGGAACGTCTTGATTAAACTGGTCATGGTTATGGATAAGCCGATAAACGAAGTGATAATCTAATCTGTAAAATTGATTTATATATATACGTTTCGACATCGAGGTCGAAATTGGTGATACGTTGATTATATATAAATGAAATCGATACATTCTTAAGAAAATACTTTTCTAATATATATAAATTAAAATTATCGTACAACAGCTTCGATTTTATTATATTTTACAGCATTTCCTTTTTTTACGATTACATGATATTTTTGCAAATCCTCCAGAATATTGTCGGGAGGAATAATTCGTCAAAATTGGCACGAACATTTATTTTCTCGGTACTATCGTTTCCTTTGTCAGAATACGACGATGCCCCGTTATCATCCGTATATCTGTGAGAGGTGTTCACACGCGGTAAGAGACGCTCTCTCTTTCTCTCGTATAACGTACACTTTTTCCCCGTTGCTCAATTACATTTCACTCTATCGCGAGAGGCGGACGCTTTCACAGTTTTCTTTGCCTAACCGCTTAGCATACCGCGCGATCCAGTCTTACAAAAATCAGTCGTCGCCCCTCGAGTTCAGCGTTATTTTGTCCGATAATAATTCTCTTGATAAATCGCAGTGAATTTATGTTTCATTGCGAAATCGCGGCGAACTCGGTAAACGTCAAGTTGAAGTCTGTCCAACTGCTCGTCGTCACTACATTATAGTTTTCGCAATCAACTAGGATTATTATTATTAAATGGCACGCAGTCTATAGAATCAAACGCATGAATATATATACACGTACAATCTTCTCGTTCGCGAATCTAATTTATATATTCGTCGAGTGAAGAAGGGAAGTAACTAATCCGGACGTCCTTTCTCTCCCTGTTAAAATTGCAGTTCTATTAGTTGCACCTCATAGTTGCTGTTTGCGTGAATCCGAGGCGCGCGTCGCGATGGCGTGGGATTCCGAGCGCCGAAGCGGCACTCTTTCTCACGGAAAAGGAAGAGCACAGCGGGCGCGCTTAGAATTCCGCCGCTTCGCTCGCTCGGGTCCATCGATCGGGATTCACAGTTCCGGGTGGTCGGAGAGGCGAAGGATTCATCCTTCTCTCGCCCAGCGGCGGCGACGGGATTTTGCGTGCCTTCCGAGATTCTCCCCGTCCTTTTTCTATCTCTCTCTGTCTCTCACCCACTCCATTTCCGTTCACGGCGTCCCGCAAAATATCACCCGCTCGCGACACTCATTTTTCACGGTTGACCGTCGTCGAGAGCCGCGAGATAACAACGGCGGAGAGGAAAGGTTCGCCACCGCGATAACTCTCACGGGAGAGAGGAGCTTTCCTTCCTCTCCTCTCTCTTTTGCTCCACTCGGTCCCTTTCGCTCGCTCGCCTCGAGGGTGGCAGAAGAGTAGGTCTGGCCAGTCATTAGTCACTTTCCGAAGCAGAGGCACAGACAGGCCGCGGCTCTTCCTCCCGTCCGTTTCGCTTCCTCCGGTTCTATGCTTGCTTCTCTCTCTCTCTCTCTACATCCTTCCCCACTATTTTGTCTCGCTCCATGTGCCGTCTACCGGCCGCTCGTGCTCTCCTCTTCTCCGTCTCGCTACGGTTCCGTGCCTTCCTCGTGCCTTTCTTGCACAGTCTCTCTACACCGGCCACCCTTCGTTCCCTCCCTTCACCCCACCCCCGCGCCGACTACGAGACTCCGATTCCAAGACTCGAAGCGGTATAAGTCTCCCCTCTCGTCGGGCTCCGTTGGCTGTGGCTTCGAGACGTTCTCGCTTGCTCCCCTCGTGAGGAGAAACGCCGTCGTGTTTGCCTCCTCTCTCGGTGCTAAGCCTCTCGCGCGTCTATCTTGATTGAGAGGGAGCGCTGGTATGCTCTCTCCTCGTCTCGCCACGTCGTTTTCTCCGTCCTTCTTTCTCGTGATTACGACGCAGGGAGAGAGAAAGAGAGAGAGCGAACTAACCGTGCTTATATCGGTGAACCCGACGAGGATGCAGCGAGAGAGAGGTTGTCATTGATCGTCCCGACTGCGGCTTGTGAGCCGCTAAAGGTCCCGTACAAGCACGGGCCCGCCGGCATGTAGTCGCAGCTATGTGTGTGGGTGTATGTGTGCGAGCACACGTGCGTAAGTGCTCCGCTCGTCGTTCTCGTGCGTGCGACGGCGGAAACTTTTTTTTTTCTCTTCTTGCACTGCTCGAATTGCAGCGTTATTAGGTTGGCTATAGCGATTCGACACGTAATTTCGATATTTGATAAAAATGTAAAAAACATGCAACAATCACACATTAATATTTACCTTTCGTAAAGATTCTGCAGCTTGCGTGAAAGAAAAAACGTTTATAGACACAATCGTTAATGTGCGTAATAAAATAATGAATTTTAATAAGCTTAAAAGAGAAAAAGGAAGAGAGAAATTTATATATTATATAAATTTAATCAAAGTTAGATTATATTTGCTTACACACATATATTAACGCGCATGCATAAAGATCTTATTGTTTAGACTGCGTTCTCGCCTTTTATTCGTTATGTTGAATTAGACTTTTCATTCTTTTTTTTCTGATGAGATTTCTGTGATACAAAAATAGCATGAATATAATAAATGATCTCTAAATACCTGATATGTTAAATACCTGATGACATCTAACAACGATATTTCTGGGGAAAATTGCGAGCGCCCGGGGAGCGCTGCTGGAAGTTTTTAATCAATGGGACAAGGGGAACTAGGACATCCGTGGAATAGGTGGCAAGACGTGAACAAGGAAAAAGACGATCCGCGCGCGCGGAGGTTAACCAAGGCGATAATTCCTCGCTCCGCTTTCGGGGGTTTGGCTCGGTTAACCGAAACCGTGGTTCCGAGGGCGTGTGCCGCGACCCTTAGCCAATAAAACAGTTGACCTCCTTCACCGGAGGAGAGTAGCAAGGCGGAATGAGTAAAGCGACACGATCCCGAGGTCCTCTGCATTTTTGGCGAACGCTACGAATTCTTCGCTAATGGTTCCCTTTTTTTCCTCGTCTTTGTTTCACGTCGCTTTTTTTCTCTCTTCCGACAACTACAAATAGGCCGCACTGATAAGAACGCGTAAATAAATCGCGATCGACCGGTCGATGTAGCGTGATGTTTTCTAAAAGAGGAATAATTATCGGAAAACTTGCGGGGAGAGAGAACTTTATTTGATTTCTGGAGCAAAATTTACTTTTACCGTTTCATCGCATTCAATTTCCTCACTTTTCGTCGATTTTAATCGGCGTATCTTATAAATAGGATTACAATTGGAAATTGTTTATCTCCGAAAAGATTTAGGTATTTGAATTTCTAAATTTTAGCTGTTCGAGAATATATACGCACAGTTTTTAGGTGATGTGTAAAATAAATCACGTTATTCGATTCCGCGAATATCGATGTCGATAGAAGGCGAGATAAAAAAAAGCAACATCCGTTAACAGTCGCGCCTCGTAATGGTGTTCGATGCTGATATATTCCGTATATAAGATCGCTCCGCGCGCCCTTCGGCCTAGCCCTTAGCGTAGTTCAGGCAGCAGCGCTTGATTATTATCACCGCCCCTGCCTCGATAATGAAAGTACGTGCGCGCGCTCCCTTGCGTGTGTATATACGTATACGTGCGTGTCTGTGTCGAGAGCACCAGGGTTCGCCGCCTGGTTGCATTCGGGCACCGGCGGTGGACGGGACCCGATGGGAAGTGCGGCGGCGGTAAAGGGATAGGGGGGAGGCTACAACGAGGGTGGCTTCGAGGCGTATACTCGCTGTGTTTCGGCCCTGCTGAGTCACGCACTAAAGAGAAACGCGTGAGGT